GGGGGGGGCTCAGGGACAATTCTATTTCCTTTATATTTACCTGTATATTCCAACCTTTTAACATTGTGCATTCTGCTCTTGTGTTTTTAAAACGTGATTCTTATTTAGAGTGATGGAAGTGTTTGGGGTCTTGCCGGAAGTCAAAAGCCCCATCTGTACCCCTGCGGAGGGCTGTGGCTCAGCTGTGGGGGTTACTCTCCTGGGCCTCAGCCTCTGGGTCGTTTGAGCTCAGACCTGACCCAATCACGATCATGTGCTCAGCCTTCCTGCATTCTAAGTGTCTTACGCAGTGCTTGTCACTGAGCACCTGGAGGCTGTCCTTTGCAGCCTGAGGCCAACTCATCTCTGGGCATGAGTCTTGCTGGAGCAGAGGGACCAAAGGCCCAGCTACCTCCAGGATGAACACCTGTATCATGCCTCTACCTCAGTGACACCTCCATCGGTGTCCCTTGGACAAAGCAGTCCCAAATGTAATCTGTGAAGGAAAAGTGGGAGATGTCTTGGCAGGGGGTGAAGTCTGGCCTGCTGGTGTTTCCATGGCTGTGGTCTGACTTCTCTGAAGTCAGACACTGGGGACAGATTCAGGAAATTGGAGCCCCCCTAGGCTGAACCCAGACCCCTGGGGTCCCTGGCCCTAGGAAGGCAGGACTTTGCCCAAGGAGCACCACCCTGCTCCACCCAGAGCAGACCCTGACTGTACACACCTGGGTCTATTATTTTCATGTTATTCTTAACATGGAAGAAGTTGGAGACATTGAACTTGTCCAAATTGGTGGGGTCCTGCAGCAAAAGGAGAACATCCAGGAGTGAACCCAGGGCTGCTGCTGAGTGGCTGCCATAGGCAATATGGGGTGGGCTGGTGCCTACACGGGAAGAGGCTGGCTCTGAGCCATGGGCAGGGTGACAAGTAGGGGTGGGTGGGGACAGGGCACAGACCGGCTATTCACCAAACGGCATCCCCCTCTGCCCACAAATAAGGAGCATGACTTGGTGGCAGGTCGCCACAGGATGGCCTGGGCAGCCATAGGGCTAAGTTCTGATCAGAATGAAACAAGCCACAGAGTGAACCACTCCTGCTGGCCTGCCCAAGCCTCTGCTCCATCCAGGCCGCTCCTGCTTTTCTATGTCAGAGTTCTCATCAGTTCACTCGGGGCTGACAACTACAGGGACACTGTTCTTGAAATGGCGGGAGGAGAGCCAGCTTGCAAAGTGGCCACTTCATTCTGACGCCTGAGGGAACAGATGAGGGGCAGCCCAGGGGCAGAGAAAGTGGCCAAGGCCCACGTAACCATGGGAAGAAGGCAAAGGCGCTGAGAATAGTTGTGGAACTAGAAGTGGGCAGAGTCATAGGAGGAGACCATGGAGCCCAGAGAGCTGGGTAGGTACAGGAGCTGAAACTCACCTGGAGGGTGATGATGTCCTGCCGAGAGAAGGGCTCATCAGTCAGCAGGTCCCGGAAGTTCTTGGCCTTGATGTTTAGCTGCTCCACTGCCTGCAGTCAGGAAGGAACTGGCGTGACAAAGTCTACCAGAGACCCTGGCCTGGCAGCAGCACCATGGAGAGGGGAAGGCAAGGACAAAGATGACCATATACCTGCCAAGTGCCCCCACCACCCAGGAAAGGCAGAGCAGACTATGCCTAGGCAGTGACTGGAACACAGCCTGCTCGTGGGAGGATCCAGGTACATTTTACAGAGCTCAGCAAAGCCGCTTCCCACTTGCTCCCATGTCTCCTGAGCACCACACATGCGCCAGGCCCAGAGCTAGTACCAGAGAGAAGCACTTGGTGAACAAGCACACAAGTCACATGTGGGACACAGTCTAGACACACTCTGCTCGACCCATGTGCTTCAGGCAAGAAGGAGCCCCATAACCCTGGGCAGCACCGGCCACCTGACCCTGCAAATGTCCAGGTGAGGAAGGAAAAGGACACTAATCTGCTCTGCAATGGGGGTCTATTCCCAGCCTTTTCCCTGAGCAGCAGGACCCATGCGGAATCTGCTCCCTCCCATGTCTACACCGCTTGCTGCAGAACTCCTCCCCCAGCCTCCTCCCCAGTTCCTTCATGGGGACAGCTCCCTCCTGGGAACAGCTCCCTCCTGGGAACCCTGCCTCTCCTATCCCACAGGGCTCAGCCCTCCCCAGGGCCTGAACTCTGAGGGCCCCCTCCTCAGTAGCCAGAGCTGCTTGGATTTCAGGTCTGCAGGCTACAGGAAGCACCTCCCCCTTTCTGGGTCTGTGAAAGTAGGAAGGTACCCAGCCAGAGCTCAGCAGGGTGCCCTATGCTGGTGGCTGTGACTCCAAGTCTCACAAGGCCAGGTTGAGACTGCTGTGCTTACCCCCAGCACAGCCAGGCTGGTAGAATATCCCCAGAGCACATACCCAAGGGCTTGGTGCCATGCTGTCTCACAGCAAGGACTCACCTCATAGGCATAGACATTGCCAGTCATCTTGATGGCCACAATATGAGTGTTGTTAGTGAACACAGTGAACAGCACTGGGCAGTGGTACTTCCCTAGGGAGAAGGCACATACAGGGAGGCCAGTCACCATCAAGAGCTTTGATGATCCCAACAGGGGCCGAGGTGAGAGAGAACTTGGGCAGAAGGTCACAGAAGGTAGAAAGCAGAAACCCAGGCCAGCTGCCCAGACCTGGAAGCAGAGGGAGGGCAGCTGCTAGGAAACTCTTATTTATCCTGCAAGACCCAACCCTGCCTCCTCTCCCCTCAGAGGTGGAGGCTCTGTGACCACTGTGCCACCCTCCTCCTGCTCCTCTTGAGGCCAGCCCCCAGCAGGAAATACTGTGTTCCCAGGAACTCAGCCTCAACTGCTCTTTCTACCCCTCACACCGCAGCACCCACCAGCTACCCTATCTCCTGGCCTCCCTCACCCCTCGCCTAGGTGGCTGTGGCAAACCTCACACAGGTTTCCTGCCCTGATAATCCCCTACCCAGTACCTAGGAATCCTGTTAAGTCCCAAAAACAGAAAAGAAAAAAAGGGGGTGTGGGGGAACAAGCAGAGACTTTAAAATACTTTAGAGGTATCACCCGCAACATCTGGGTAGACTTCTTGCAAATCTGCTCTGAAAACTATAAAAAATAATAATTAGGAAACTATGGAAATCTGACAAGGTGCACATCTGATGAGCTTAAAGAATCCTGTTAATTTCTTACATGTCATAAAGCTATCGTGATGATGTAAGTCTTAATCCTTTTGCACTACAAAGTGGAATATTTAATCAAGAAATGACACTCCATGTCTGGAATTTGCTTCAACATCATCGCAGGAAGTGTCAAGTGGGAGCACAGGCCACGAACTGAGGCCAGGGACTGAGGCTGTTATGGATCAAGGATGGCTGTTCGCGATACTAATTCTCTCTACTTTCCTGTGTCTGAAATTTCCAATTAAAAATACAAGAGGCTCAGGGTTTAGCTCAATGATAGGGCACTTGCCTACCGTGTACAAGGCCCCAGCTTCAATCCTGAGCACACACACACAAAAAAAGTGAGGCCAGACCTCATCCCTCCTGTTAGCAGTTCCCATCCCAGAGGAGGAGCCCAAGTCCGCCCACAACCTCCCAGGCCCTGTTCTGCCTCCTGTTCTCACCCCTGGCCTCTCAGGCCACATCTACATCCACATCTCCAGCCGCCTCCTCAGCTCATGCCGTTCCAGCACCAGTGGACTCCTGGCTGCACACACTTTCAAAGGTATGCCCACCTCAGGGCCTTTTCACTGGCTGTGCCCTGTGCCAGGAATGCTCATCCCTTTGCTCCCTTCTACCAGATTCCCTCTCAAACCTTGTCTGCTGGTCCCTCTGTGGCCCTCTCTCCCCTGGCCCCACTCTGCTTTGACCTACATGTGGCACAGCCTGATATACTCTACTGATTAACTGTATAGTTTTCTCTTTAAGCAGAAGGTAAGCTCCTCTCATTCAGGGAGAGACTTGGCCTGCTTTGCTCTCTCCACATGGCAGGCACTCCACAAACAAATGCTTGCTGAATGAAAGACACTTTGCCCTTCCCTGAATCCACTGATCACAGAGCGGCAGGTGCCCAGCAGCTGGCCAACAGTGTGGAGCTCCTAACTCCACTGACTGTCAACAATGCTTTTTCACTGAAGTTTATTCCCTCATAACCCATTACACCAGACTCTGGGCTCAGAAAAAGGAGGAAGCTGGGCCCCATCCTCACATGCACTTAGCATTTTCTGGAAATCACACTCCCACAAACACAGACAACAACCTAAACAAGGGGATCTGTGCAGCAAAAGGAGGCCTGGGCAAAGGCCACAGAGAACTTCTAGCAAGAGCAGACCCTGGTACAGGGCCTCAGCTCAGACATCTGATCAGGAGATAAGAGGAGGGAGTGCAGGAATATAAACCAGGAGGCCCCCAGCTGAGCTAGGGCTTCAGGAGCAGTGGTGATGAGAAGCCCAGCTAACAGCTGCTTGGAAATCCCTCCAGGACGCCACACCCACAGCCCAGCCACCAACCCTGGGTCTCAGCCTGAGCAGCCTCTGCCTCCACTAATAAATGGACCACAGACTTAGCCAGATGTGGTCTGTGCTCCGCAGGGCCTGACTGTGCCCACGAAGGCCAATAGCAGCTCGCAACGGCTTGACTGCCTTTGTGGGGAAGTGGTTCCATCCCTACCTCCACCAGCTTAAAAATACCTGCGCCTTTAACAAGTCATATGACATCTTTTGAAAAATGTAAAGCAAATACGCAGCTTGATCGGAAAGGAGTGAATGAAGGCTGGGCTTAGGGCTCAGTAGTAGAGCACATGCTTAGCATGTGTGAAGCTCTCACTTCGATCCCCAGCACTACCAAAAAAAAAGAAAGAAAGGAATGACTGATTCCATAAAACAACTTGGTGAGAGCAGGGCCAGGGGTTCCATGGGAAAATCCTAGAGCCAGCTACTAAAAGGATTCTCACCTTCACTGTTCTTGGCAAAGTTCAGCTTGATCAGGGATCTCCCATCGAGTTTCTGGAAGATACATAATTACTAATAATGAATAGGGTTGGGGATATTGTGGTTAGAGCACTCATCTAGCATGCACAAGGCCTGGGTTCAAACCCTAGTATCTCACACACATACACACACACACACACACACACACACACACACACACACACACACAAATAACAATAACAACAAATAAGTGATGGGAAGAAATACTGACGTGGAGCAGCCAGCTGAAACAGACAGACTAGAAAGGTTTCTCTCCAGTCAACCCTTTGCAGCTATCAACCAGAATCTAGCGGCAGGGACCCCTTTAGGAGGCTGCGGGACACAGCCAGGACACATGGGGGCTGCAGAATTCGCACCTGGATGGCAGTGACTATATAATCCCCACATCCTAAAGGTTCTGAGGAGAACCCAGGTTTGTGTGGTTTTTTGTTTGTTTGTTTGTTTTTTGGTACCGGGGATCAAACTCGGGATCTTGCGCTGGCAAGGCAGGCGCCGGAACCACTGGGCTAAATCCCTGGCCCTAGAACCCAGGTTTGTAAACACACAAACAGGGACCTATTCACAGGGTGACCACTGGGCTAAAGGATGAGGCTATAGGCTGGGAGATGGTTTTATGCTTCTCCAGTGTCTGACCCTTTATTTTATTTTGGTGCTGGAGACATGAACCCAGGGCCCTTGCATAATAAACACATACTCTACTAAGTCCTTATCTGAACATCTTTATGGCAAGCACAAGTTACTTCTAAAATTAAAAAATGAGTGTATTTCTAATGCTAGTGAGGGTACCCAAGTGTTCAGCTTACTCTGTTTACGAATACTTTTTTTTTGGTGCTGGGGATCGAACTCAGGTCCTTGTACTTGTGCAGCACGCAGCAAAACCACTGAGCTAAATCCCCGGCCCCATTTACAAATACTTTAAAAAATAAAACATTACAAGTAAGAGAAAGGCTGGGATATAGTTCATTTGCCCTGGATTCATTGCCAGAAACCCCCCCCACACACACACAACTAGAATAAATATACTGAAATGCTAAGAGTGTAAGAGGGAATAAGATCCACTACTCGTCCAAGTTTCTGAAACACATCTTCAGTTCACCTCTTTGATGGGAAAGCTGATAAAATGATAAAATGTCCTGGCAGTGAGAGGGGAGAACCCACCTGTGCTGGAGGATGTCAGGGCAGCTGTGCTGTGCAGACCCTGGCAGAGAAAGTTAGAGCTGCCCCCATCCCAGCAGCCACTGACACCCTAGTGGGGCTAGCCCTGCCCCTACCCACCCAGAGCTCAGGGAAGACATCAGGGGTCTTGGGAGCTGGGTCCCTGGGCTGACCTCTGACCCTACATCTTTCCTGACCGAGCACATCTGCTCCTCTACCACTGGCTTCATTCCATTCTGTTACTCTCCCACTCACCATCCTCCATATGCACGTGCAGGTTACACGGCAGGAGAGCTGGGACACAACCTCCAGGTACATGACCCAACCAGTGAGCCCACACACAACATGCTCCACCTGGGCCCAAGTGGCATGTAGTCCTTAGCCCTCAGCCCAAGGGTTTTTTTCAGATTCAGCTTGAAGGGTCTCTGAGGATGCCCACCCTAGAGAGGATACCTACACTGCAAAGAACCTCACACCAGCCCAGGGGCAGAAGAGCTGAGATGGCACAGATGGGCCACTAGCTTCTCCCACCACCCCAGGGAAAGTCATTTACTTACTTATTTATGCAGTGCTGGAAAATGGCCCCCAGAGCCTTGTGCACAATGACAAGTGCTCTACCCTCAAGCTGCACCCCAGGCCCTGGGAAGAATTCTGTTGCTTCTACTTGTTTCCAGAGCTGGCCACAGCTCCAGCTATGGGGCCCTGACTCACCATCCTGCTCATCTGTGCACTAAGCCCCAGGAAAGAAGAGCAAATGTAAGTCACTTTGACAGGAAGGGCAGAGTCACTGGGTAAAATGCACAAGATCCCCTCTGTACTGGGTTGAAAAATATTCTCCCAAAGTTCAAGCTCACTAGGAACCTGTGAACACGACCTAACTTGGAAATGGGGTCTTTGTAGACATGATCAAGTTAAAATAAGGTCATAATGGCACCGGCACGGGCTGTACCTGGCCTGAGATCTTAAGTTCAAGACTTAAACCTGGATTCTACCTTCCCATCCCTGGCACAAGACAGGTGGCAACTGCTCAGGAACTTCTTGTGGAACTGAACCAGTCCCAGAGACCTGACTGCACTAGAGGGTGACTACTGAGATGTCCACACCCTCTAAGAGAGAGAGACCCCTGCCTGGACACCTTAGCACATCCCACTGGTCTATGCTCCACAGCCATCCTGGGTCTGGGCACTGCTCTGCACTTCCTCCTCCTCCAGCCTGGTCCAAGTTCACCTAACACTTCTTGCCTAAATAAGTGCTCACCCTCTGGCTGCTTTCCTTGCTGCCAACCATCTCCTTATAGCCCTTTGTTCACAGAAACCAGAGCTAGCCTTCAAAAAAGGCCAGTGGTTCCACCACCTGCCTTGCAAGCACAAGGTCCCGAGTTCAATCCTTGGTACCAAAAAAAAAAAAAAAGCCCAGATCATGACCCTGTCTGGGCTTCCACTACTCCAGAACAATTCCAAACTCTCTCCAGGGCCTTTAAGGCCGATACAACCTCTGTCTGCCACCATCTCCCATCATCCCGCAGGTCTCAGCTGATGCTGCTCTTCAGATATTCCCAGGCCACCTGCCCTCCCCCAGCCTCACTGTCCCTCTCTGTAGCATCTCAGCAGAATTCCTAGTATCTACCTGCCCCTGTACCTGCTGCAGACCTAGCACACAGGGAAGGCTAACATCTTCTTGTTGAATAAACAAGTACAACTGCATATATGAAGAAAGGGGCCCACAAAGAGACAGGTCTCTGAGAAATAAAGGGACCAAGAAAACAGGATGATTACAACGTGGGAAAACTGTGGGTTATATAGCAAAAAAAAAAAAAAGATGTTACTGATTTTGCCATGGACATAGGAACCGGGCATTTTCTTTCACACACTGCTATTGGGAGCACAAAACAACAGAATGGCTTTCTAGAGCAATTCTGCACTAGCTACTGAAATTGAAATGGTACCCCTCCTTTGACCTAGCAATCCCAGCAGGATACTCCTGTGTGCTTCAAAACACATGCACAGAGACATTCCCTGCATCTGTTTGTACTGGCATATGACTTAAAATCCAGTGCAATACACCCACGGAGGATACACACAACACTGAAGATAAGGCTATACTGTTTGGGTCTCTGGGACACACCGCAAGGCACGTAAAGCAAGGTATAGACTGCACTGTGATTGCATGTATGCCCAGAAAAGCATATATAGTTGTCCCTCAGTACCCACAGGAGACTGGTTCCAGGACCCCTCAGATACCAGAATCAGTGGAGGATCTAGTTCCCCATACAAAATGGCACAGGATTTGCAAAGAACCTATACTCATCCTTTTGTATACTTTAAAGCAACCCTAGGTGACTCACAATACCTCATACAATGTCAATCCTCTATAAATAGTTGTTACACTGTATCATTTAGGAAATACTGATAAGGAAAAACATCTGTACATGTTCAGCACAGATGGAATAAAAAAAAATTAATGCCTGCCAGCTGGTTGAATCTGTAGGCACAGGACCTGCAGATGTGAAGGCCCACTGTTCACGCACACATATGAACACATGTGGGGACATTTTTGTAAAGGAGTGGGTGTGGGTGGAGAGGGCAGGACTATTTGCTCCTCACTGTCCACCTGCTCCCCATCAATGGGTCTCTAACACCTCATGCCCCAGTGTATGTGAAAACCACCAGGACAACCAGATGGATGGGGTGGCATACACCTATAATCCCAGCACCAAGGAGGCTGAGACAAGAGGATCATGAGTTTGAGGAAAGCCTGGACTACAAAGGGAATTCCAGGCCACCCTGACTACAGGAGACTCTGTCTCAAAAACAAAAAGACCACCAGGACAAGGTAAAGGCAAAGGGAAAGCTCTCACCAGCATTACTTAAATAGCAGCAGGGCCACCTACCTCTCCATTGCTGGGGTTGGTCCCATACTTCTTAAGCCATGGAACGATATTCCTGAAGGGAAAAGAGAACAGAAAGTGTCACCAGAGGTGAAGGTGTACCTCAATGGTAGAGGGGATGGTTAGCATCTCTGAGGCCCTGGGTTTGATCTCCAGCACCAAAAAAACAAACAGAAAATGGGCATAATGCTTCCAAATACACCACAGGAAAGCCATGCACTTTCCTTAGGGCTCTGCTTTCATAAAGGGAAAGCATGGAGTTCATTAACATTCCACAACAGGAGCAGGTGGGCCATTTGGAACTTGATGACCCCCACTAGTGATGGGGGGACAGCACCACCTGCCAGCTAAAGTTGTTTGCATAGGGGTCAGAGCAGCACTGCTACCATGTTCCTGAGGCCAGGGCATTCCTTCCTCAGCCACCAAGAGGTCCCCCAGAGCTCCTGAGACTGCTTGGACCAGGGGCCTGGTGGCCTTGGTACTGTCTGGATCCACAAACCTTATGTCCCTTTCCTTAGTGGGTTGACAACCTCTTCAATTAGATCAAAATTCAAAGAAAAACTCACAGCAAGTCAAAGACGACACCTTCCAGAGTGCAGACTGGGTAGGCAAAGGGCTGCAGAGAGAGACTGAGAAAGGACAAAGTCATTCCTGGTCAGCTGCCAGGCACATTGACTAAGCGTGGCCAGCCAGGGCCCCCTACGTAGCACTTGTGACATGTCCCTCTGACTTCCCTCTGTCAGTCATTCTTCCAACAGTCCCAGAGGCTCCTCTGCATGGACTGCGCTGTGGCCAGCTCCAGGAGCCTCCCTAACCTCACCTCTCAGTAGCTCTGGGACAAGTCAGTCAGTATCAGGCACCGATCCCAGGACAAGGCACAGCAGCAGCCAGGCTGTCACCTGCTGCATGTCATGTAAGGGCTCTGTCACCACATTCAAGTGCAAAACAGGTCCCAAGAGGCAACCTTGTGGAGGCAGGAGTGGAATTCATTCACACAGCAGGCAGGCCACACCTTTCTACTGACAGCCATCGTAAGAGTCTGGTGGGGTACCATGTCGCAAAGTGCCCTGCCTGCCCCTAACCACAGAGTGTACACACAGTCCCCCCATTTCCAGGGAGCCGGAGCATAGCAGCCAAGACCGGAGTCTCTGCAGCCCTCAGGAAGTTCTGACACATGTATGATAGAGTGGAGCGGTGTCCCAACTGACAGAAGCCATCCCCCTCTCGTAGAGTCTGCTGGGGAAAAGCAGGGCAGCAGAAGGGAATGCACTTGGTGAACTGCCTGAGCCAGTCCTCTTTTTTTTTTTTCCGGTACCGGGATTGAACTCGGGACATTGCCCTTTCGAGGCAGGCGGCGGCACCACTGAGCTAAATCCCCAGCCCCTTTCTCTTTTTTTTGAGACAGGGTCTTGCTGTGTAGTTCAAGCAGGTCTTGAACTCACTATGTAGCCCAGGCCGGCCTCAAACTCACGGCAATCCTCCCGCCTCAGCCTCCCAAGTGCTGGAATTATAGGTGTCCACCATCACACCTGGCCTCTCTTTCTTGCAAGAGGTTTTTGTTGCTAGCCATCCAGAGTCCTGGCTGACCTGGTTTCTGTTTGTACATCTATCACCTATGAGTTCAGTCAACACAGGTCAGTCTCTAGGACCTGGAGAGCCAGGTAGCAACAGCGCTCCAACCCTGCCACACTCCAACCATGCCTGGCAGGGTGACTCTCAGGACACTGCCTCCAGGGAGTCCTCTTGAGCAACCCTGCCACCTCTGTCTCTGGCCCAACCTTCAACTCTACCTGCAGCTGTGGTGGTGCTGCTGCTGGTGAGTGACCAAAATAGAAGCCAAAACTAAAGCCATCTCCGAATGCTTCAATGATAAGTAAGCACCTGCTCCCCAGCCTGACTTGAAGCATCATTTTCACAGTAATCCAAGGTAAGTAACACGAAGACTAGATACAGATCAGACCTCCTGGAGGGCCAGGCACAGGGTGCATGCCTGTAATCCCAACACTTGGGAGGCTGAGGTAGGAGGATTGTCACAAGTTCAAAGCCAGCCTGGGCTACCTACTGAGTTCAAGACCAGCCTGAACTACTGTTAGGTACTTCAGAGCCCCAAAGAGCAAGCCCCCTCCTCTCCTTTCCCCTTGCCCCACTGAGGCCACAGGGAACTTCTGCATAGCTAAGGCATGACCTCCCTTTGTTAGTGACTCTGCCTAGTTAAGGTCTTTCTGCCCCACCGGTTTCGTAGTCAGATGTTCCAGTAAGATAGCGGCTTCCCGAAGACGATGACTCCATTCCCTTGACTGAAACCTGTTGCTACATACCCTAGCCCCAATTACCCACCCCCCACCAATGGACTAGTGCTCTCCCACCTGCAAAATCCCATATAAGCCTCCAGTTTAGCCCATACTATGGCTGATCTCCCTCCTGTGAGTCAGTCCCAGCAGGCTGCAGACTGCCGCCCCTAATAAAGGCTTGCTGCTTGAACACCCGTGTGTGCCCCCTTCTTCAGCGACCCTTTCAATTACACAGCAAGAGCCTGTTTCAAAAAACACAAAAGACCCGAGTTCGATCCCTGGTACAAAAAAAAAACAAAACACACACACACATAAAACCACCAGACCTCCTGGAGGAACTGGAACCAAAAGTAGGACTGGTCACCTCAGATCACAGCCACAAGGGTGGGCAGGGGGAAGGGGTCCTGACCAGCTACTGTTCCCCCTTCCAGGTGCTGTTGGGTCCCCTGGGCAGACAAGAGGCCTGGTTATTGGACTGCAGTGCCTACACCCCAAGACCTCCCTGCATGGGGAACTCTGCGGCTTCTTCACCGCACTGGGGCATCTAGCTAACCTGCTCCTACTGGGGTGCTGGGAGCACCAGGTCAGACTAGTCAGCTCCCCAGGGTCACGCTGACATTCAGAAATCAGAACCTGGGGAGGAGGGGGATGCTGTGCTAACACAAATATGTGCAGGGCAGAAGTGACCATGGCTCAGGTTAGGGAAATCTTGGGCTCTAGGGGACCAGACCTGTCCACACCCATGTCCAGAGCAATGTGTGGGAGTCATCAGCCTGCATCCTGCTCAGCAATAGACCCCTCTTCCATTCATATACATGCCATTTGGCTGCTAGAAGCATTTGGGTGACTCTGTCACCCCAGTCAGTGCCCTGGCTTCCCAGGTAAGAGACCAAGAACTTCACAGTATCTTACTATTGCTGCTTCTGCTGCTGCTGAGGATCAGGAACCATAGCAAAGCATTACAGGCTTGGGCCCAGCATTAGACCACTGGGACCAAACCTCTGCAGCCAGACTTTCCAGATGTGACACCTGGGAGAGATGCTTCACTCTTCTAAGCATTGATGCTGTCAACTATAACACAGGCTTAACCTCAGAAGGCAAGAGGTTAAAAAAGTAACACTTGTAAACACACACGCAAAAAGCAAGAAAACACCCGCTCGGGCTGGGGATTTAGCTCATTGGTTCCGCCGCCTGCCTTGTAAGCACAAGGACCCAAGTTCGATCCCCAGTACCAAAAAAAAGAACATATCCATTAGCTGTCATCATGCTTGGGGTGCACCTTGTCCCAAAGCAAGGAAGAGGCAGGTGGAGGAAGATGAAGGTAGAGAGACCCCACCTGCATCTTCAAGGGGCAGAATGACTATCAGTCAGAACACAATAGCCGGGTATGGTGGCGCACAGCTATAATCCCAGCACTCGGGAGGCAAGGCAGGAAGATCGCTGTGTTTGAGGCCAGCCTGCACTACAAGGTGAGACCTTGTCTCAAAAAACAACAAAAAGACAGAACATACTCAGCCCTCAAGCTGAAAATTTCAGACCCAACAGGCTCCGACATCTGTAACTTTTTAAGCATCACATCAATTTTCAAAATGGTAAGGATTATGGAGCATTTCAGATTTTGGATTTTCAGATTAGGGATGATAACTGGTAAAGTCTATACAAGTACTTCAAAATAAAAAAAATTTTAAAAAACCCCAAATCTGAAACAGCTCTAGTCCCAAGCATTTCAGAAAAGGGACAGTCAGCTGGGCGTGGTGCCCCACACCTGTAACCCCAGCACTCTAAGGGGTGGAGGCAGGAGGATCACTACAAGTTTGAGGCCAGTCTGGGCTACAAAGTGAATTCAAGACCAGTCGGGACTACCTAGAAAGACCTTGACTCAAAAAAAAAGAAAGAAAGAAAAAAAAAAGGATAGTCAACCTGTACCAGAAAATGCCCAGAGGTGAAATAAAGAACTCTTACCTGCAGTGGTCAAAAGGTAAACGACGAAAATTTGTTTGTGGGACATCTGTTTAAAATGAAATAAAAAAACAGAAAAAGTATTCTGTAAACAGTTTCATCCATGTGCACTTAGCATCATTTAATGACATTTTAGAAAAAAGTTCATGGGAACTACCTAGTATAGAAATTGCTACTGAAGCCTGGGATGTAGCTCAGTGGCACAGTGCCTGCCTGGCAAGAGCAAGGTCCTGAGTTCGACCCCCAGTGCAAAAGAAAGACAGAAAGAAAGAGGAGAGAGGGAGAGAGAGAAGAAAGAGAAAGAAAAGAAAGAAAAGGAAAGAAAGAAAAGGAAAGAAAGAGAGAAAGAGGGAAAGAAGGAAAGAAGAAAAAGAAAGAAAGAGAAAGACATTTTTTTTTAAAAATTGCTCTTACTTCTTTTCTTAAATTACTTTATATTTGTTTGTTTGTTTATTGATGTTAGGAATTTAACCCAGGACCTCACGCACACTAAACATGTACTCTACTATTATGCTATACCCAACTCCTGGATTAAAAATCTTTAATAGACATAACTAAAACACATGGGATACATCAAAAAAGAACTCAGAAGCTGGATATAGTGGTGCACATCTATAATCCTAGCTACTCAGGAGGCTGAGACACGAAGACTGCAACAAGTTAAAGGGCCAGCCTGGGGAACATAGTACATAGGACCCTATCTCAAAAAAAAACAAGGACTGAGGAAGTAGCTCAGTTGAAGGTTCTGAGAGCAATCCCTGGTATCATTAAAAAGAAAAAAAAAAGCTTAGATGGGCTGGAGATGTACCTCAGTGGTAGACTAGTTGCCTAGCATTCAACAGGCCCTAGAGATCTGATCCCCAACACCACAAAAAAATAAAATTAAAATAGAGGAAAAAGTCCACACCTTTTTACTTCCATTAAAATTATGACTGTGCTTTTTTGACTGTAGCCCTGATAGCTTTGGATATTACCATTCTTTTTATTTTTTTTTATTAACTTAATCTTCCTTCTTTCTCCCTCCCTCTGCATCTATACTCTACCTTCTTTACTGTAACTTACATTCAAAGATATCTCAAAGAGTTTCTCCAGCTGGATCTTGTGACACAGCCTGCAATCCCAGCATTCTGAGAGGGTGAGGCAGGAGGATCACAAGTTCAAGCCCAACTCTAGAAGGCTGAGGCAGGAGAGTCCCAAATTTAAGACAAGCCTAGAAGGGCCAGGTGTCATGGTGCATGCCTGTAATCCCAACATCTGGGAGGCTGAGGCAGGAGGATCACTCTGAGTTTGAGGCCTGGTCCTGAACTATATATTGAGACCCTGTCTCAAACAAAAAAAAGTAAGACAAGCCTAGAAAACTTACAAGTACTGTTTCTCAAACTTTATTTATTTATTTTGGGGATGGGGTAAAAAGACGGGGTCTTGTGATGTAGTTCAGGCTGGCTTTGAACTCACTATATAATTCAGGCTGGCCTCGAACTCCTGGCAACCCTCCTGCCTCAGTCTGACCTACTGCTGGGATTACAGGCATGCACCACCACACCCAGCCACTTTCTCAAATTTAAAAAAAAAAAATCTACAAGATGAAAGATGTTCTCCTATGCTGAAACTTCCTATTTTATGGAGTGTCCTCAAGCCAGTTGTCTACTATAATGTCTGTTTCTGTTACCTGTTCATTTTTACTGTTCACTGTATAATGACGACATCATTCCTTAAGACCATCCCCACCCTCCACAGAGAACAGACCAATTTTATGCCTTACCTGGCTTTTTACCACCATAGAAATGAGTGTATTCAGCACAGGTAATGTACCTGAAGGAGAAAAGGAAAGAAAGAATGTTACTACTGCTCCTTTATAGAGAAGATCAAGTTCTGGAATAACCAAGGATGCAATCTTCACTCATTTAGCAAAAATTTCTCAAGCACCTGCAACTGTCAGGCACACAGTGATAACAGAGAGGAGAACACACAAACTAGTAAATAAATACCAATAGCCTTGCTTTGCTCTGAGAAAATGAACTGGATTATCAGATGAACGGACAAGGAAGCCAAGCATGGTGGTGCACACCTGTAATCCCTGCACTGGGAAGCTGAGGCAGGGGGATTCAAAGTTCAACCTCTGCTTGGGCAACTTGCAAGGCTTTGTTTCAAAATAAAAAGGAAAAAGAAAATTAAAAAATAAAATGGGCTGAGGGTGCAGCTCAGTATGAATGTCCTAGGTTCAGTCCCAGTACTGTTTAATGAAAAGGAGGAAGGCATGTAGAGATATGCAGGAGGAGCTTCGCAGGCACACCGTACAGAAAGGCCCAGAGGCAAGAAGTTGTCACTGGGCAAGAGCACCGGGGCATATGGAAGCAGATGAAAAACTTTGGGTCTACGAGGAGAGGAAGGCTCAGCAAAAGGAACTATGAGAGGCTCCTTGAAGAACATGGAAAACAAAAGAGCATGTGGGAAACCAGCTATCAACCAAAGGTTTCAGAAGAAGAGAGTAGCCACTGTTTTCGAGAAGCTCAACTAAATGATTAACAGGTACACAAAAGTCAAGGGTATCCTCACAGCTCACAGCGAGCATAGGGGCCTAGTAATCCTAGCTATTCGGAGTGCTGAGGCAGGAGGATCACAACTTCCAGGCCATCCAGAGCAACCTTAGCAAGACCCTGCCAATAGATAGACGGATAGACAGACAGACAGACAGGGCTGTAGATGGTGTTCAGCGATAGAACACTCCTGTGTTCAATCCTCAGCACTGGGGGAAAAAGGGCAGCATCACAAGAGTAGTTCTTGGGTGAAAATATGTGGTGGTTTGATAGACCCAAGTTTTTCCCTTGTTAGGAAAAGAATAAAGAAAACGCTTTTGACGGGCCGGGAATTTAGCTCAGTGGTCCCGCCGCCTGCCTCGCAAGCGCAAGGTCCTCAGTTCGATTCCCCGGTACCAAAAAAAAAAAAAAGGAAAGAAAGAAAGAAAACACTGTTGACCGTAGGGGATCCTGGGGCACAGCTGGCTTTCACCGGAAGACTGTGAAACAAGCGTGTGGGCCGAGGGGCATGAATCAACATACACGCCCTGGAAGTGCAACAGAGAGGCTAAAAGCAAGGGCAAGGCTCGCGAGTGGATATGTGAGATCGGAGAAATAAAGGAGGAGCGCTAATGGAGGAAGTGACACTAGGGATGGGTTCTGAGGCGGGAAGCTGAAATGTGCTGCTCCAGCTGCAGCTGAACTTACATCTTGTCCTTCTGGTGCTGTCGTTTTCCCATGGCAGCGGCGGCAGCGGCACAAGCTACACACTCGGAAAAACTAGGGACAACAACTTAAACCCGAAACCTCCGCTGAGCTTCTCGACTACTTCCGGGCTTTTGTGTCCCCGCCCCGGAAGCTGGCGCTCGGCATGCCGGGATACTGCGCGCGCTATAAGGCTCATAGGTGGGGCTGGACTGTAGTCTAGTGTGTCTGTGAGTGGCTGTGTTGTTGGTTGTGTGTATATTTGTCAGTTTCTGTGTTTGATTATATTGGTGGGGGGGGAGGGAGGGAGAGAGAAGGCGAGCTAAATTATGTATGTTCTGTGTGTGTGTATGCGCCCCACAGTAACCGAGAAAAAAGTGATCAAGCCTGGAGATCCAAAGCCCTTCCTGTTCCCTTAGGTCTCTTCTGCCACGAGAGTACATTTTTGTGCCCTGAACTGGGCTTCTGTCTACAACAGGCTCCTGGTGAGCTTGCCCAGGCTTGTGTTTGTTACTGTTCTGGGGACTGGGATTTAAAGGTTCCTGGGGATTGAGCCAGCCAGTTGTTTTTGTATTTTGAGGACCTCATGCATGCTAAGCACAGGCTCATTTTTTCCTTCATGACTGAGATTGTATTGGTTATGTTGAGGATCAGAACAGACATTTCACTTTGTACACAATTTTAACACACCTACTGAAATCTAAAAAGCCATGTACAGTACCATGTTTCTTTTAAAGTTATTACAGTGACTTTCCAGCTTCAAATTTGGAGGCAAATTTTCATAAAGAGGATATGTAGTATCAATACCTTCAAATGTTGATAAACTGTTACTTAAGTTCCACCAATTCACAGTTTCACAGCATATATACTGTATACTCATACTTTTGATTTTTCACCACACATTAACAAAATTATTAGGAAGGGCCAGGGATTTAGCTCAGTGGTGCCAGCACCTGCCTTGCAAGTGCAAGACCCTGAGTTGGATCCCCAGTACCAAAAAAAATTATTAGGAAAACTGAAATACCATGACCGAGGTTAAAGAGTGTGATTCTGAGAGGACCACAATGAAAGAGTGATTTTCTTTTTTTTTTTTTTTTTGGTACTGCGGATCGAACGCGGGTCTTTGTGCTTGTGCAGCAGGCGGTGAAACCACTGAGCTAAATCCCTGGCCGTGATTTTCTTTTTTGAGACAAGGTCTCTCTTTGTAGTTCAGGGTGGCCTTAAACTCACTGTATCGCTCTGGCTTCCCTCAAACTCAAGGCAGTCTTTCTGCCTCAGCTTCCCAAGTGCTGGGATTACAGATGTGTCACACTCAGCTAAAGAATGATTTTTCTTTAGGAAACAGTTTTACTAAAAACATAGGAATAGAACTAATTTAAGCAGGTTTGGTGGTATATACCTGTAATATCAGCACTCTGGAAGGCTGAGGCAGGAGGATTAAAATATTGAAGCCAGCCTGGGCTTACATAGAAAGTGCAAGGTCAATCTAAGCTACATAGTGAGTCCCTGTCTCAAAACACTAAATATATATATATATCCAAGTATATTTTTTCAAGACATATGAAATGCATGACTGGAACTCCAACTTGCAGTTTAGGATGTTTTGTATTACAGAATACAAAAATAACCCCATCTGTGGGATGTTAAGCTGACACCTAAGGCAGTCAAAGCCTCTATAATTCAATATCCCACTATTTTCTAGTTGTACCCCCCAAAAATCTCTAAAACATCATTTACCCTTTAAAAATGGAGTGAGGTGGGATTCTCTCCTTTCAGAAACTGTTTCTAACCCAGGCATGGTGGCACATGCCTGTAGTCCAGCACCTGGGAGGCTGAGGCAGGAGGATTTTGGTGAGTTCCAGGCCAGCCTGCACTGCATAGTGAGTTCTAGGCCAGCCCAAACTAATAGCGAGCGCCTGTCTCAAAACAACAACAACAAAAAGTTTCTAGAGGTACTAAAAACACTCACATTTACAAAATAATTGATAAAAAGATTCCACTGGACTTTACAAAGAAGGGAAGAAGGACAAGAATAAGACATGGTCTGTGGTTAATCAGACTTGGCTTTTCTCTCTTCCATGTCATCAGAGACTGCATCCCCTGTTTTTGTTTTTTGGGTTTGATTTATACCAGGGATAGAACTGAGGACCATGTACTTGCCAGGCAGGCGCTATGCTGCTGAGCTAAATCCCTGGCTGCATCTCCTGGTGTTTGTTTGTTTGTTTGTTTTTGGTACCAGGGATCAAACTCAGGACCTTGCGCTTTTGAGGCAGGCTGCGGAACCACTGAGCTAGATCCCCAGCCCGTGGTTTTTAGTTTTCCATTTCTACAGATAAATCTTCAGTTTCCTGGCTTAACCACTTGGGCATTCCCCTCTGCTCCTCCTTTATTTTCATTTTTCTTCATTTTTTGAGGAGGGGGTACTGGCAACCGAACTCGGGACCTTGTGCTTGTGAGGCAGCCACCTGAGCTAAATTCCCCCTCACAAAGAATAAACAACTGGGATCTTATCTTATTAAAAAGCTTCTGCACTAAGAGAAACTACCAACAGAGCTAAGAGACAACCTACAATGTGGAAAAAAATTTTCAGCAACTGTACCTCAGACAAAGGACTACTATCTAGAATATATAAAGAACTGAAAAGAATCAGACCCCCAAATTCAAAGACCCAATTCAAAAATGGGCATCTGAAATGAACACACATATCTCAGACAAAGAAGTAAAAGCAGCAAACAAATATATGAAAAAATGTTCAACATCACTGGTCATTCGAGAGATGCAGATGAAAACAACACTGAGATTCCACCTCACCCCAGAAAGAATGGCTGCTATTAAGAAATCATCCAATAACAAATGCTGTCGGGGGTGTGGGGAGAAAGGAACCCTTCTCCATTGTTGGTGGGAGTGCAGACTGGTGCAACCACTGTGGAAATCAGTATGGAGATACCTCAAAGAACTAGGCTTAGAGGTCCCATGTGACCCAGCTATCCCCCTGCTGGGTATCTTCCCAAAAGAATTAAAAGAATCATACCATAGCAATATATGTGCACTCATGTTTATAGCAGCACAGTTTGTAATAGCTAAAGCTTGGAAACAGCCCAAATGCCCATCAACTGGAGACTGGATAAAGAAAATGTGGTTTTTTAATAAAATGGAGCACTACTCAGCCATAAAGAACAAGAAACTACAGACATTTATAGCTAAATGGATGCATATTGAGGCCATCCTTTTAAGTGAAATAAATAGGACACGTGTAAATACCAAATAGTTTCTCTAGTGTGAGAAACTGAAAGTGTGATTAAGGATACACACAGATGAAATTGCCTAATAACATATTTCTTGGATTGTGTTTCCATCGTGTGTCATATGACTGTATCGAAATTTAAATTAGGGAGAAGCTTGGCTGATGTGGAGTCTGCTAAGTAACTAGAGTTTTTTTCCAGATCATTATTTGTTCAGTGTTGGTTTTGGGGATCTTTCTGAAACAAATCACATCCTCTAGTGTCTTATTGGTGCTTGAGATGCTTTTTAAAGTTATATGGAAAAATATTTAAGTGCTTTTCAGTTTTGTTTTGGTTGAGTTCTACTGTATTTGAATATTATTGTAGTTTTTTCCTCTTGCATTGTTCTTCTTTGAATGGTTTTAATTTTTGTATGCGTGTGTTTGATAATAAAGTTATTTTTTTAAAAAATCCCTGGCCCTCTTCATTGTTGTTTTGTTGTTTCATTGTTATTTTGTTTTTTCCTTGCACTTTTTTGGGGGGGGCTTATTTGTGGATTTGTTGTTTTTGTTTTTTGAGACAGTGTCTCACTATGTAGCCCATGCTGGCCTTGAGCTCACAGCAATCCTCCTGCATCAGCCTCCCAAGCGCTGGAATTACTGGCATATGACACCACACCTGTTACTTTCTTCCCCTTTTGTTTGCACTCTTTTTTTGGTACCGGCGATCGAATTCAGGTCCTTGCACTTATGAAGCAGGCAACGGAACCACTGAGCTAAATCCCCAGCCCATTGTTTGCACTCTTTTGCCTCATCATTTATCCTTCCTGCTGCCTCTTTGGGCTATATTTCCACCTTACCAGAGCAGGTTTAGCCAACAACCTGTCCACTGTCCTCCTAGGCTCCTCCTTCACCACTCCTGCCCTGAGCAGACCTTCTCTTGGGCATCTTGGCAGTGCAGTGGCCATATGAGGGTGCAGGGGGCCTGCTGGGTTTCTACCGAGATGTCCCCCGAGAGCCTCCTGTGCTCAGGTAGGGCTCTGGGAAGCTGACTGGACTATGGGGGCTTATGCTGACTTGCTGGTAGGAGGTGGGGTCTGGGGATGTGGCATGAAAGTGTTTATCTCCCTCCTGCCTCCTCCTTTCCACCGTGCCCCCAGCAGCCTCCTCTACTCTTCTGCCTCGCTTCCCTGCCTTGGAGCCGGCTGACTATACACTGAAATGTGAGCCAAAACAAACCTCTTCTCCTTTAAGTTGTGGGTTTCAGTGACAAAGAAAGTAGGGCTGGGGATGTAGCTCATTGGTGCCGCGCCTGCCTGGCAAGCACAAGGTCCCAAGTTCAATCCCCAGTACCTCAAAAAAAAAAAAAAAGAAAGTGACTTAAGACAGGGCTACAGCATGTGGGGGCCCTTCTGAAGCTGCACTGCTGTCTTCCCGCTTACCAGGGCTGCTTGGATTCCTGTCTCATTTTTTCTTTTTGTTTCTCTTTTTTCAGTATTGTGGATTGAACCCAGGGCTTTCACACTGAACAACATCACCAGCATCCCCTCCCCCTTTTTTATTTTTATTTTTTGGTACCGGGGATCGAATTCAGGACCTTGTGCTTTTGCAGCAGGCATTGGAACCACTGAGCTAAATCCCCAGCCCTTTATTTCTTATTTTGAGACAGGGTCTCACTAAGGCACTAAATTGCTCAGGCTGGATCTTCCTGCCTCAGTTTCCTAGTGCTGGGATTATAGTCATTCACCACCATATCCACCTTAGGCCCTTGGTTGTTTGTAGTTTTTGGTTTTGGTACCGGGATAGAACTCAGGACCTTGTGCTTGCCAGGCAGGCAGCGACACCACTGAGCTACATCCCCTGCCCTTGGTTGTTTTGTTTTTTGAGACAGGATCTCATTATATAGTTCAGGCTGGCCCTGAACTCACTATGTAGCCCAGACTGGCCTCAAACTCACAGCCATCCTCCTGCCTCGGTCTCCCAGTGTGGGGACAAAGGCCTGTGCTGCCACACCTGGAAGACACATGGTTTTTAACACCACTTGTGTGACGCCCACTGTTAAACAGGCAGCATTCTAGATGGCTGGCCTCCACCTGGGCAAGGGGCATGTTTAACATGTCTACTCGAAGCAGAATCCACACCCACACACGCGCTCTCTGCTCAATAGTACTGTCATCCACCTAGTCACTCACAACCAGTTGTCTTTGCCTTTTCTCATGGCTGACTTCTTAGTTTGCTTGCTTTTTTGCCCCCTTTCCTTCCTTTCTTTCTTCTTTCTTTCTTTCTTTCTTTTCTCCCAGCCCCCTTTATTTTTGGTTTGGCTTTTGAGACTAGGTCTCGCTATGTAGCCCAGCTTGGCTTTGAACTCATGATCTCACTGCCCTGACATCTGGAGTGCTGGGATTACAGGGGTGTAATCCCTAGGTTTCTACAAATGTCACCTCTTCAGAACTTCCCTGACCACCTGACACCATGTACCTCCCCTAGGGGTCATAGTTTGTAATAATTTGGTCTCTAGCTGGGGATTTAGCTCAGTGGCACTGTGCGTGCCCGGCAAGCGCATGGTCCTGGGTTCCATCTCTGGTATTGAAAAAAATAATTTTTTTGGCCTCTGTACTGTACTGTACTGATTTCACACAGACACACACACACACACACACACACACACACACACACACACACACACATGAAGATAGGAAGTAAGTCTCTTAGGGACAAGGATCTCAACAGTTTGGTTTGTTGTCTCTGGGCCCAGGCAGGATGGGAGGCAAACACCGGGGCTCAGTGGCTCTCCGCTCACATCCAGTGATCACTGAGCATTTAGTAAGGACTCACATCTCACATGCAGGTTGGGTCCTCAGGCCAACATGTGAAGTGACAGTGACAGTCACATATCTTTGAAACTTGGTAGGGAGGGCTAAGTTGGAAACTGATAGCCTAGCTCATTTTCCTACAGGAACAGATCACTGATTGCAAAGCCTCCCAGCAGATAAGGCCTAGGGAAGATACAGGATACAGGAGACTTGCAACTCAGTGTGGACAAGAGAGGCCCAGAGGGGCCACAGAGTCACTGAAAGGAAGGACAGCACTCTCCCCACCCTCACTTCCTTCTCAAGGTGCTCATGAGGAAACGGCCATGTCAGTGTGCAGGCAAGGGACACACAAGGCGCTGACCCACCCACCCAGCACGTGGGCTCAGGTGCACACTGCCCAGCACAAGGAAAGAAGGCACCTCCATGGGAACTTTATTCATTCCTCAGGCCTGGTCTGTAGGGAAGAGGTCACGGGCTCCTCTTGTGGCACTTGGACTCCGCATTGCTGGGGCTGTTCTCTGAGTTGTCTTTGGGTCTGGGAATAGGCTGGAACTTGAGGAGGACAGGCGGAGTGAAGATGGATGCCTTCCCAGCACAGGCTGGGGTGGGGGTCTTGTCAGAGCTGGAGGAGCCACTACAGGCTGAGGTCCTGCATGGGAGACATCCACGCACATCCCTGAGCCAGGACACTGGCAACACCAGGGCCACCAAGGGTACATGGGACAAAATCCTAGGATGAAGGGTGGCTCCCTCTATTTGCTACTTCCAGAAACCTCTCCATGGAGAATGATCAAGGCTGTTCATTGCACCAATGCTCATGATTGTTTTAAAAAAACAAAACAAAAAACCTGGACCCATCTAAATGGCCTTGAGAAGACAGGCAAGGAACCATGGTATAGCCATGCAGTGCACTATTCTGCTGCTGTTTAAAGGAACAAGGGTAATGTCCCAACAAGTAAGGACATCCCAGTAGTTTTTTGTGTTGTTTTGTTTTGTTTTGCTTTGCTTTTTTGTACCAGGGATAGAACTCACAACCTTTTGCTTACATGGCCGGCGCAGTGCCACTGAGCTAAATCCCTGGCCTCTCCCTGTGGTTTTTTAATTTTGTTTTGTTTTTTGTTTTGGTACCAGGGATGGAACTCCGAACCTTGTGCTTGTGAGGCAGGCAATGGAACCACTGAGCTAAATCCCTGGCTCCTAGTGGTTTTTTGCTCTGGATCTTTTTTTTTTTTTTTAGTACTGGGGATCGAACTCAGGACCTTGTGCTTTTGAGGCAGGTGCGAGAATCACTGAGCTAAATCCCCGGCCCATCCCAGTGGTTTTTTAATGGATGGTTTTTACATGTGATATGAGCCTGCCTGGGTTAAAAGTTAACTAGTTGTTGGGTCTCCCGTAATCCCAGGACTTGGGAGGCTGAGGCAGGAGGATAATAAATTTGAGGCCAGCCTGGGGTCCATAGAAAGTTTGAGTTTAGACTGGATTATGTAGCAAGACCAACTCAGAATAAAAAGGTTAGTGTATTTGTGTGTTGGCGAGGCCCTGTCTCAAAAGAATTATTAACTAATGCATTTTTTATGTGTGTGGCTGTAGAGACAAAATATTTGGAAGAATACACAAAAATCTCTTAGTAGAAGGGCTCTTTTATTCCGTGTATTTGCTTCCGTACTGTGAACTTTTCCCCATAGAATTTTTTTCCTTAGTCCTGGAGATTGAACTCAGGGCCTTGAGTGTGCTGGGAAAGTGCTCTACCTCTGAGGTACACCTTCATTTTTATTTGTTTGTTTGTTTGAGACAGGGTCTCACTATGTAGTTCAGGCTGGCCTTGCACTCACTATGCAGCCCAGGCCGGCCTCAAACTCGCAGTGATCTTTCTGCCTCAGCCTCCCAAGTGCTGAGATTATAGTCATGTGCCACCTCACCCAACCTGAGGTACAGATTTAGCCCCTTAACATTTTAAAACCAATTAAAAACAACCCATTTTTGGGCCAGGGATTTAGCTCAGTGGTTTCGCTGCCTGCTGTGCAAGTGCAAGGACCCGAGTTCGATCCCTGGTACAAAACAAAAAACCCCACAAAAAACAAGGGCTGGGGATTTAGCTTAGTGGTATCACCGCCTGCTGCACAAGCACAAGGACCCAAGTTCGATCCCTGGTACCAAAAAAAAACAAACCAGTTTTTGAAGTAACCCTTCTCCACTTTGGTGGGAGTGTAGACTGGTGCAACCACTGTGGAACTCAGTGTGGAGATTCCTCAAAAAAACCTAGAACTAGAGGTTCCATTCGACCCAGCTATTCCCTTTCTTGATATCTTCCTAAAAGAATTATAAGCATCATACCACATCAATATATGCACACCCATGTGTATAGCATCACAGTTTGTAATAGCTAAATCTTGGAAACAGCCCCAATGCCCATCAACTGATAACTAGATAAGAAGAGTGGATTTTTATACAGAGTACTACTCTGCCATAAAGAAGGATAAGCTTAGGGCCAGGGATTTAGCTTAGCGGTTTCTCCCTGTCTCACAGGCACAAGGACCCGAGTTTGATCTCCAGTACCAGAAAAAAAAGAAATTCCATATTTAGGGGCTGGGGATTTAGCTCAGTGGTTTGGCGGCCTGTTGTGCAAGTGCAAGGACCCGAGTTCAATCCCTGGTACCCCCCCCCCCAAAAAAAGAAAGATAAGCTTGAGACATTTCTAGCTAAATGGATACACCTTGAGACCATACCCTTAAGTGAAATAAATCAGACACATGTGTTTAAATACCACATTATTTCTGTGGTGTGAGAAACTGAAAGTAGAAATAAGGACCAAAATGTATAATAGACATTGGGAAATGGAAAGAAAATGTTCAAATGGTAAGGGGAACAAGGGAGGGGGACTGAAAAAGGAAAGAGGAGACAAGAGGGCTGAGGGTTTAGCTCAGTGGTTCCGCCACCTGCCTCGAAAGTGCAAGGTCCCGAGTTTGATCCGCAGTACCAAAAAAAAAAAAAAAAAATTAAGAAAGAAGGGACAAGAGAAAAAATAATAGAGGGAGAAATGGAAACAAAGATTTTGTAAATGAGGGGAAGATGGGTTGAAGTGGGGGTGGGGAATAGGAGAAAAAGAAGAAGGAAGATATATCATGTACAGGTACAAATTCTGTATGATGAATGCTATCATTATGTATATCTAAAATGTACCAAAAAATATTTTGACAAAAAAAAAACCAAAACATTTTTGGTGATGACATCAGTGACAGCACAGCTCATTCAGAGAGCAAAATGTATCAAGAGTCTAAAAATTATCCCTTGTCACTGCAATATTGTAACAGACAAGAACAGCTGTGGAAATGATGTTCCATCTATACAATGAGTATTTTGGGTCTGTTCTTATTGGTGATCTTAAAGATATTTTTAGTGACATGAGTGGAAACTCACAAGCTGGAGTTGGTTACAGAATGGGACACTCTCAAACTCAATTATATAACAAATTATAACATGTGCACATACACATGGAAAGAAGCCTCCATGGAAACAGAAATATGCAAACTGTTTATTTCTGGAGGTAGGAATAGGTGTGATCTGGTGAGTTTTTCAGTGTCGGTTTCCCATTGGCTACAATAAATTTATTGATTCAGTGTCCAGCACTGCCAAAAGAAAAAGCTCCACCTAGAAGGAACTAGAAAAATAGTGATGACTGCAGCCTTGCTCTGTGGCTGGCTGCTCTGTTCTGTGAGGACCTGATAATGCTAATACTTTACTTTGAAATTTTGCTTTGTAATAACATTGTGAAAAGTGCTTCTCTGTCACCCAACAGTCACCTTCCCAGCCTTCCACATCCCTGTCTCCTGATCTGTCAGTCTATCATTTCCATTTGGATGTAATTCGTGAATTACATGATTATGTTTAATCACAATTTTGTTGTGTGTGTATGGTAGTGAGGACTGAACTCAGGTCCTTCATACTGAGCTGCATCCCCAGCCCTTTTTCTACTTTTTATTTTGAGACAAGGTCTTGCTAAGTCACTAGGTTGCCCAGGCTGGGCTTCAACTTTTGATCTTCCTTCCTTGGCCTCCCAGAGTTCTGGGATTACAGGCATGTGCCACCACGTGTGGCTTCATATTTATAATTTTAAGTTCCATAGCCGGGCAGAACATGCTTGTAATCCCAGCACTCGGGAGGCCCAGGCAAGAGGATTGCTGTGAGTTCAAGGCCAGCCTGGGCTACATAGTGAGCTTAAGGCCAGTCTGACCTACACAGTGAGACCCTGTCTCAAAAAAAAAATGCTAGTTGATTTTAAATTACATATGCCTGTGCTCACTTCGGCAGCACATATACTAAAATTGGAATGATACAGAGATTAGCATGGCCCTTGCACAAGGATAACGCAAATTCATGAAGCATTCCATATTTTCTGGATGCACATTGAGGCCATACTCTTAAGGGAAATAAATAGGACACACATGTGTAAATACCAAATAGTTTCTCTGATGTGAGAAACTAAAAGTGTAAATAAGGGTCAAAATGTATAATTGGTAATGTGAAATAGGAAGAAAAGGTCTAAAGGAGTAGAAGTGAGAGGGGTAGGGGAAAGGAAAAATATGAGAAAAAGAAAAAATGGAAACAAAGTCTTTGTAAATAGGGAGGGGTGGAGGGGTTGAAAAGAGGGCAGGAAAATGGGGAAAAAATAAGAACCAAGATGCATCATGTAAAGGTGCAAGATCCCAATGATGAATGTAACTGTATTGTATACCTAAAATGTACCAATAAACTTAATGAAAAAAATTACATATGCCTGGGACCAAGGGTGTAGCTTAGTGCATAGCACTTGCCTGGCAAGCACAAGGCCCTGAGTTTGATTCCTGGTAAAAAAAAATTTTTTTTTAATTAATAAATTATGTATGCCTGATGTGGTGATGCATATCTGTAATCCCAGCACTGGGGAGGCTGAGGCAGAAGGACTGCTATGTAGCCTGGGGTACATAGTTAGTTCAAGGCCAGTCTGAACTACATAGCGAGACGCTGTCTCATTCCTCCCCACCAAATACAAGTCAGTTACATAATATTCAATAATTATATGAATGCATAAAATTGTTTAGGCTTCCTCTTTGTAACTGATGCTGCCATGAATATTTTTGTTTGTTTGTTTGTTTTTTGGTGCCGGGGATCAAACTCGGGTCCTTGTGCTTGCGCAGCAGGCGGCAAAACCACTGAGCTAAATCCCTGCCCCTGCCATGAATATTTTTATACAAATAGCTTTTTCCTTTTCATTATTTCCTTGGAGCAGTCTCAGGACTGTATTTTTATTTTTATTTGACATGCCCAGCAGGATTTGTAAACACCAGATCAAAGAATTTAAGATGTCTGTGGCCTCTAAGCATACTAAGCACACATGGTACCACTGACTACATCCTTGGTCTCCCATTTTAAAGTGTACAATTCAGAGGGATTAGTTTTCAGCTTGTCCACATATTGTAGCATGTGTTAGTACCTAATACCTTTTTATGTTTGGTAATGTCCCATTATCTAGATATATCACATTTTGCTTATTCATCTTTTACATCTGGACTGTTTTGCCTTTTGGATATTGTAAATGGTGGCACATGAACATTCATGTACAAGTATCTGTTTGAATCTGCTTTCTATTCTTCAGGGTATTTACAAAGGAATGGAATTTCTGGATCCTAAGGGACCTCTGTGATCATCATTTTGAGTAACTGCCAAACTGATTTTCAGTGCCCACATCACTGTACCTCACTACAAGCCATGCACAGGTTCCAGTTTCTCTAAATCCTCATCAATAGCTGTCATTGTCTTTTGTGTGTGTGTGTGTGTGATACAGGAGATTGAACCCAGTGTCTCTGCACTAGGCCAACTTGCACTCCTCCCTCAGCCTTGAAGCACGCTGGGATTACAAGTGTGTGTCACACCTGGTATATCATTGTCCTTATTACAGCCATCCTAATTTATGTGCTGTGTTACTTCATTTTTTTGAAATTTTATTTTATTATCTTAGTTCATTAATATATTCTCATTAAACAACCATTGCCTCCCTCTTTTCTGGTTGTAATTATTTTCTCATCAAAGCGTTATTTTCTAAAATGACAAAAATAATAAGAATGAACCTCATTTTTGTCTTGACTTACAATTTTCCCAGTGACTAATGATGTTGAGCATCTTTTCCTGTTTATTGGCCATTTATTTGTATATCTCCTTTGGAGAAACATCTAATCAAATCTGTGCAGTTCAGACTGGCCCAAGCTGACCTTGAACTCTCAGTGATCTTCCTGGCTCAGCCTCCCTAGTGCTGGCATTATAGGCATGCACCACCACAACTGGCATGTCCTCATTTTTAATTGGGTTGCTTTTCATTTTTGACATGATATACAAATAGTCTCTCCCATTGCGGATTTTTTTTTGAGATAGGATCTCACTATATTGTACAGGTTGGCCCTAAATTCCTAGGTTCAAATGACTCTCCCACCTCAGCCTCCCAAGTAGCTGGGACTAGAGGTGTGTGCCACTGCTTGGTGCTGGATGCAAAACCCAGGACCTCATTCATGATATGCAAGTGCTCTACCTCCCAGGCACTTTTTTTTTTTTGACAAGAGTCTCGCTATGTAGTTCAGGCTGGTCTTGAATTTCCAGCAATCTTCTTGCCTCAGCCTCCTGAGTGCTGGGATTACAGGCATGTGCCACCATGCCTGGCCTCTCTTTCTTTTGAGGTGGTGAAAATGTTCTAAAATTGAATGGTGAGTGATGATTGCACAATTGGAAATATACCAGAATCCACTGGACACTAGATTTTATGCTACTCAACTCAATAAAAAGGGAGAGAGAGAGAGAAGCAAGCAAGCGAGCCTGAGATGTAGCTCAGTAGTACAACAATTGCCCAACATCCTAAAGGCCCTTAGTTCAATCTCCAGCTCGGGGCAGTGTGGAAGACTAAGTCAATTTGGTAGTACTGTATTTCCATAGTCAAAAAAGTCTCTTCCAAAAACTCTTTGTCAGTACAGTTCTCTCAAAATTGCCCAGGCTGGCCTCAAATGTGATCCTCCTGGCTCAGCTTCCCCAGCAGCAAAGAGTAACTAAGATTATTACCTTGTCCCCCTTACACACACTTTGGGCTTAATAGGTATTTATTGTTTATCCTAGCAATCTCAACATGTACATCTTTTTAACTCTTTAGGGGATGGATATGTCATTAACAATTGTTTTCACCCACAGGATGGGTAACACCAAGCATGGGCCCTAATGTAGACTAGGGGCTTTGGTGTTAATGATGTGTCAGTGTAGGTCCATCAGATGCAACAATGGTCCCCTCTGCTTCCCCATGTTGACAGTAGGGGAGGCTGTGTGTGAGTAGGGGCAGGGGATTATGGGAATCTCTACTTTCTGCTCAATTTTGCTGGTAACCTAAGAACTGCTCTAAAGAGTAAAATCTATTGTTTTACCAAAAAAAAAATCATGCAATAAAGCAGCCAATCTAAATGATACTTTGGATTAACATTCAACACCACAGAAAATATGTAACAGCATTGTAAGTGGAAAAAGCAAGTGATTTTTAAAAACCCATATTCAGTGAAGCCCTGCTTTGCAAAACACATACAACATATGTGACTACAGGGCTGCCCCTTGGTTGGTGGTATCATTTCCTTTCAGTTGAGCCTTGGCATGGTTTATTACTACTAATTTGTCACCATTACAAACACTAGGAAGGGGTATTAATTTTTTGGCACCCCCTGATTACATTTAGGGTCATTCCTAAATGGAAGTGGAATGGACATCACACTGAAAACTTTCTTGGCCCTTATGCACACTCCCATGATGCCTATCAGAGGCTCAGGAGCAGGGCACCCTGGGGCTGGACAGTCACAACGATGCTGGCCTGGAGAGGTAGAGGCTTGCTTACCAGAGGAAGCCGGGGCAATGGAGCTTGTGTGGACTGTTTCTAGGCAAGTGTGAGAAATGGAAGCCTCTAGGATTGAGGACCAAGGGGGTCAGATCAACGATGTGGCTGCAAGACAGGGCAGAGATGGGATGTCAGCTCTGGGTCCTTCCATAACCGGAGAGTGCAGATCTGTGACACGGGCCCAGAAAGTCCTATACACAGAGTCCAACTCCTCCCCTGGGAAATGAGGACAATAACCACTAAAGACTGCAGTAAAGAGGCGAGGACAAAGCAGCAACTGAGTCTGGGTCCAGGATCCCTCCCACCATGCTCCTTTTTCATCTCCCTTGAGTCCAGAGTAGATTCCTTCCACCTCTTTGGGTTTGATGACAGACCATTCCAGTTTAATTTCACTTCAGACCTTGAGATGTCCAATTTCTCCATCTGCAGGAAACAAAGGAGAGCTCAGGACTGTGTGGGGCCCTCAACTTGCAGAACAATCCTTCTAGGAGACAATGTTACTTCCATTCATTCAGCAGATACATCAATGCTCTTTTGGAGCTTGGCATTTTAGGGGTACAGGGGATATGATGGGGGCTAGGAGCTAAGGAAGTCCCAGTCCAACTTGGGGAATGGAGAGGTGCCAGGAACCTGGAAGAGCAGGCACAGCAGGCATGGGACAGCATAGGATGACACCCACAGCGAGAGGTGCAAGTGTGGCTAAAGATGTGGGGGAGGCCTACAGTTTTGTCTGTCCTTCAGGAGTGCCAGGATACTGTCCAGTGTACCCAGGGCTGCCCTGCATACCTGGGGCCATAAAGGTGGAGCTCGGTGCCCTCAACCCCCACCCTGACCCTTTAACCAGGGGAGCCTCCTTTCATCTCCTTTCTCCATTGCTGTGGCACCCAACATCTTGTCTGCAAAGAGGGGTCTGCGGAGGCCTGAGAACCAGGACTGTGGGCCCAGCAGGCTGTTCTGAACAGGGGGTCAAGGCTGCCCCTCCCAGGACTGCCTTGGGTTGAGGAGATTTCCACTGACTGGCTTGCTAAGAAGCGAAGGAAGGGGCCAAAGACCCTGGGCATAGTGTAGACAGGGGATGATGGGGCCACTACAGAGGTTATGGTGGTGACAGGTGGTGGCAGTGATGGTAGTGGTGGAGGTGGCAGCAGAGTTGGTGGTAGACATGGAGAGGTCGACTGGTTCTTTAGGAGGATGGGTTTTGTTTTCTTCAGTTTGAGCTTTCTTCTCTTCTTCTTGGTATCTGTGACAAAAAGTGCCAAGAGTGTCTCCTTATGAGAGAGGAGGGCAGAGTGGGGTCAACACATTGTTGTGGAGTCTTCATAACATCCCTCTAGCAAGGAAGGGAAGAAAGTGCTCAAACACCACCAGGGACAAAACCTCAGACCTCCAAAGAGAGGCATCAACATGTATCATCCTATCAATCCCCAGCCCCATGGAGAAAGGACTTTTGTCTCTATTTTCCAGGTAGAACCAAGGCCTCTGTCTGTATAGGTAGAGACAAGTTCCACGATGGGCTGCCTGACCTCAAGGGCCGAATTTCATGGGAAGTGACAGAGTGTTGGCCTGCTGCTCACTCCCAAGCATTGTGGAAAGCTACATCTGCCAACAGCAACAAAGGGAAACCAGGCCCCAGGGAGTACCTCAGCCTGCCTATACCCAGCCCCATCCATGGCCATTCTGGGGATGCAGCAAGGGCATTTCCTCCATGAGGAAACCTACACTGAGGAAGTCTTGCAGAGATGGGATCAGGTAGGGCATCTTCTCTCTCTTTTGGGTTTTCCTACTGCACTTGATGAATCTGGCTATTTTTACTCTTCAAAGTTAGAGACAACCAGCAAAGTGGGCATTAATATGATTTTATACAGCCCATCAGAATGGCTCACCTATAATGATAATAACTACCATTCAGCACTGGCCTGGACCCTAAGAGCCTGTGCTGCAGACCAACCCAGACCCACATCCACATCCAAGATCAGCTACAGTGTGACCTTACCCACATCAGCTAACCAACTTGTGCCTCTATTTCCTCTTCTGTAAAACAGAGGTAAATAACCTCAAAGCTACTGAGGACAACATGTGCTAATGATCCACCCATCAGATGAACTGGTGACCCGGAGAACTCACATGCAATAACATGGGAAGTGTGGACTCTCCCTACCCCCAGGTACCTGGGCCTCCCAGTGTGATGCAGAAGGAATTGCCCCTACCTCTAAGATTGCATCACCAAACACAAACACACCAAAGGAACCAAGCCTGCCTGAATCAGGCTTGACTTAGGGCCTCAGATCAACTATCTAAGAAATACAGGAAAACTCAGCAACGGATGTAAACCCACAGCAGGGATACCCAGAAGATGACATGGTTCAAGTCAATGGCATAGGAGAAAAAGAAAGAAAGTGGAGCCTGAGTTCAACCCCCAGTTCCTTACAAACAAAACACCTAAGAGACCTACTGCTCACAAACAACATGTGGGCCTCACTGGATGCTGAAGTTACAGATAAAATACAGAAAGATTTTAGTAGACCATCAAAATGTGATCATGGGCTTAACGTGTCACTAATATGAGGGCATTGTGAGTTATGTCAAGTATAACAATAACATGGTGATTATGTCAGAAAATATCTTTTTTTGTGTGATATGGGGGGGCTGAAGCCAGTCTCACAATGCTACCCAAGCACTCTAGCACTGAGCTATACCCTTAGCTCTTTTGACTTTGAGACAGGGTTTTACTAAGTTGCCCAGGCTGGCCTTAAACTTGCTACCTGTCTGCCTCAGCCCTGCAAACCACTGAGATCACAGGTATGTACCACCATGACAAGTGAAAATGTCTTTTTTAAAAATTACGATGCATCTGGCTATGGGTGTATCTCAGTAGTAGTGTGTGCCTAGCATGAGCAAAGGCCTGGGTTCAAAGCCCCAGCACAAAGAAAGAAAGAAACAAAACATTGCCGAGAGGCTGGGCATTTAGCTCAGTGGCGCCGCATCTGCCTGGCAAGCGCAAGGTCCTGAGATGGATCCCTGATACCAAAAAAAACAAAAAAAACAAAAAAAAAAACCACTGCTGGGACCCTCGTGGGCTGAGTTTTGAGCCTCACTCCGGGCGTACAGGTGCACACGGTGGATGATGCTCTTCAGCTGTTTCAGGCGCTGGCGCATCTCCTGGGCTCCCATGCCGTTGCATAGGTTCAGATCCCCCTGGACGGCACTGAGGAACTTCGCCTGCAACGGCATTGGGAGAGGCGGGGCAGCAGGAAGCCCGAGGGAAGGGAGTCACGGGCGGGTCACCTACCCTCTCCTCTCCCCAGGCCCGGCGGCCTTGGGCTTCTTCAAGACCCCACCTGCAGCTTGAGCAAAGGACAGTGCCGTCCCCGCCCGGCCCGGCCCGGCCCGGCCCGCACCCAGAGAAAGGAGAAGAGGCCGCGCTGCTCGCACTCGGCCTGCTTGCTCTTGCGCAGCACCCTCTCTGCCAGCCGTGGGGCGCGATCCAGGGTGCGGAAGAGGCGGCGCAGCGCGCGTTCCGTGTAGGTCACCGCCTGCCTCTCGAAGTCCTCCACGGAGATGAGCTGGCAGAAGGTCACGCTCTGGGGGAACTCGCTGTCGAACTCCTCCAGGACCTCCATCCGAGAGGCGCTGCAGGTATCGGAGCGGCCGTCTGGGCCAGACTCCCGAGGGCCCGGACTCGGCGACCCCCACCTGCCCGGAGGCGAGGGATGAGGGTCCATCCAGAGGACCAGGGCTGGAGTCACGGGAGATGGCTGGGGCCCGTTGGGCTTCTGGCTGCGGGGACGCAGCCGCTCTCCGCTGCAGCCGAAGCGCCGACGGCAGTCCCCCTAGTCTACAGCCGCCACCGGCAGCCCCCTTCCGGGTGGACCAGCCAATCCAAAACCGCAGGCGGCCGGGGGCGGGGCCAATTCCGCGCACGAGCCACACGTGACAATGCCCACCGCTCTGGGCCTGCGCTTTCATGTCTTCGCGGCGGGACGGATGCTGCTTCACCCGGTTGCGATCTCAAGAAAGGGGGAGCGGGTAGCAAGCAGTCTTTTGAGCTCCACGGAGTCCCTGGTCATCGCCAGACCCATCTCCCAACTTTTTAAAAGCCCCGCCCTTTGCTTGGCCTCCAGTCCCCTCCCCATTCCGAGGTTTCCCTACTTTGAAAAGTGCCCCTCTACCTCTGAAGTCTTCAGCCTCCCAGGACGATCGCTTCCCTCACAGACACATTGCCTGCAAGGACTTCACTCCGCCCCTGCCTCCTCGCGCTTTCCGGACTTAACTCTCCAGCGTATCACGCACTCCTCCTAGGTCCTGGGGGTCCAGTTCCCCTTCGCAGCCACTTTGCTCTATTCTTGCTATTGCCTTTCTTCATTGCTTCCGCAGCCCCTTCTTGGTGGTCTTTTCCTCTGGCCCCTCCAGTGCTTTTTTTTTTTTTTTTTTTTTTTTGGTACCAGGATCAAACTCAGAACCTTTTTAGTGACTCTGAGCTGTGTGGAGAAGAGCC